GGGAACAGCAATAACCATCTCCCAAGACAGATCCCAGGCGAGTGCCAGAGGCTCCCCTGGCTGTTTCAATCACCGCGGTGCTGCTACCGCCTGCCCAAGCCTTTCATCCAGCTACCGAGGAAGGAAACTTCAATTAGCATCCACCTGAACTGACTCAGTGCAGAGCAGACCCATCTCTCGCCCTCCGACCGGCGCCAGCAGCACCTGCTCTATGCCAGGCCTGGGGCCCAGGGCACCCCACTGAGCGTCAACCCACCTGCCAGGAGCCTACTGCTCTGGGCCACAACAGCAGTCGTCCCACCCCCTCCCAGCACAGCCTCTCCCGCCCCCTCAGCAGGGAGCTCATGAATATTGAACACTTGGGAAGGTTATTCATCTTCCAGCTCAGTGTGAAAAACCTCCCAGCCTGCGCATTTCTCTCCTCTTCCCCCTCAGTCCCTATCTCCTCCCAAAGGCCGTCTGCAAAGTGCCCCGTTCAGCACAGACAGACCTGCCCCGAGCAGCCCCCCGGGACCCCCGCACACCGGCATGGGGGCGAGTGCACCACAACCCCAAACTCAGGGGATGCTGCCTAGAGGGCACCCGGGCGGATTTCCAGGCAGAGGAGAAGCGGGAGCTCAGAGCTACATGCACCAGGACAGGGCCAGCCCAGCCTGCTGCCAAGGGCCGGCCACTAGCCCTGGCACCGCCGCTCTGACTGCAGTTCTGCTTATCACACCATTTCCCAAAACAGCTCCTGATGGTGCCCCCCCGGGGGCCAGCATGGCCGGGTGAACTTCAGCGCACTCTTGGGAGCAGAGGGGTGAACACGCAGACCCACAAAGCAGCCACCCAACCCAACACGCTCAGGCAGAAAAGAGGTTTAACCAGAGCACACAACAGATACCCAGAGTCCTGGGCTGGCGACGAAGCGCAGCCCGCGGCCACTCGGACAACGCAGCCCTGGCTAGGGTTGCCAGGTGTCCGGTTTTCAACCTGACCCTCCCCGGCCTGGTAACAATGAGCAAGTGAGTGAGGGTGGGGGGAGCAAACGACAGAGGGAGGGGGATGGAGTGAGCGGGGTGGGGCCTCGGAGAAGCGGCAGAGCAGGGGTGTTCGGTTGTGCGTGGTTGGAAAGTTGGCCACACAGCAGGGCCGAGAAATTAGTCAACCCAACCCTGGCCCCGGAACAGACAGACTGGCTGGACACTCCTGCCCCCAGTGCTGACTGCGTATGGACCAGCTGCTCGCTCCAGACACCCGTTTAGAGCTCCCATCCCATGCCAAGGGCACCGCTGCCCCATCCCTTCTCAGCAGCCTGCCCTGGCATGGCCCCCTCTCCTCCGCCGCCCCCCAGCAGCCAGCACCACCTCTGCCAGCGAGCGTACACCTCAGCCTAGCCCGTCTCTCCCAGCGGTGCCCAGGGCGGCTGGAGCTGAGCGCTAACGTTTCACTGTGACTGATGCTAATCAGGGCCCTGGGCTCTGCTGCTCAGGCAGGCTGGGAGACAGCGTTGAGAGCGACTGGGGCCTGGGGCTCCCGAAGACCAGGCCAGAAAGGGGGAAAGGGGCACTGCAGGCTGGGGTGGGGCCTGGAGTCCGTCCTGCTCC